GTTTAATTCCCTTACATAGTTAAGTTTGTGGGTTTTTTTATCAACTTAATTCTTATTTTACCACTTCTGATTCATTTTCCTGAGGCTGATGATGTATTTGGTGGTGTGGGTCAGCTGCACAGGCAGGGCCAGAACTGTAGGTGGGCATCTCAGCAGAAAGCCAAGATAGAAGCCCTCAAAGTAGTGAGTCCTCAAAGCAGCGAGAGAGCTGTTCCCTGTGCCAGGCAAGTCGTGTGTCAGTCAAGAACTCAAATATTGTTTCAGTTGGCAGGTGAGGGTCTAAGTCGACAGGATTTCCCTGAAGGTAGCAAGGAACAGTGATGCAATGTGGTTATTTATTAGCTTTGGTTTTACTGTCAGGGAGGTGGGCAAATAATTCCCTAATGCTTAGAACTTCAATGGGTCAAAATATTTGCACTGTTTAGTCTGCTCAACTTCAAGTTCCTAGAGATAAGCTTCTCAATAAACATTATAATTGTCAGATGTCCCTTATCCTCCTGTGATACTCTGTGCCAGTTTAAGCACTTTGAAAAGTGCGTAAAATTTTTGGAAATCAAGGTCTTGCAGTAAAACTCCTAAGAACTATTTCTTTGCAGGACATACTCATTTGAACTCAAAGCTTTCACAGAGGTCTACCAGTCTGGATTGATTTTTTTCCTGAAATGTCCCATTTGTTACAGCAAGTGCAAGATTCAAATATCCATCTGACATTTTAAATCTGAATCCAAATATTTTGACATGGTATGCTCTCACAGGTTTGGGGCTTTACAGTGTAAAGTGAAAGCAAATCTCCTAATCTTGGAATGCAGTAAAGGGATGGTTACATCTGGATACATATCTAGCTTCAATGATTAGTTGAAAAACATACTAAAAAGTTCTCTCTCTCAAAAGAAAAATTAAAACAATTTAAGTCTTATTCTTAAAAATTAACTTTACATGGAAAAAAAATAAAATACTGAGGGTGAGATGTTGCTTCTTAGCTACCGTGACACATGCTGAAGTAACACAAACCAAACGAAGACGTTCCATGACTGCATCCTTGCAACACTTCACTGGGCTTCTCTGACTTACTCATGTTTTAGGTGGCTATGGAAAAGGGAAGATTTCTTATCCAGTATTTTTTTTTAACTTTGCCTGGACCAATAAAAAAATTCGTAGGAACATTGCTTCCATGTTGACTGTTTGACAGCAGTCCAGGTCTTTGTTTTCCTGGTGACATTTTGCCATTAAGATGATGCATGTGAATTAAAGCATCTGATGTAATGTAGATTTTTCCAAGGTTTTCAGGCATTAGTTCCTTTTATGTAAGCTTTATAACATGATAGACTCTTCTAAATCAGTGCCAAAACTCTTATCATGTACCATTTTAAATACACCAAGTGGGCTTAAGGCTACTCAAGTGATACAGCAAATCCCATTAAAGTCATTTAGGTTGAACCTGTAACATTAGGTACCTAATTCTCCTTTTATCTGAGTCAAGATGAAGTACATAAATAGGACTAAAAAGTCAACAGGACAAAGCAGTTGCAGAGTGCAGCCCAGTTCCGCACAAAGAACCAACCACACCTTGGAACAACACGCTCTGATTGACTACTTGGCATCAAAGGTAAGGGAGAGGGGAACATGCTGTGGGAAATCAGCACCCACAGAGCACCAGATCTGCTGCAGCTACACTGCAGGCAGAAACCATCTGCTGGAACACACACAAGGGAGATGAGGCACCCCAATGCACAAACCTTCACCCTAGTGGTTTTGCTCATTGGCTTTGCTCGAGGCTTTCCAGTCACTGTCAGCCCCAGCAAGCTCACTGAGCATCACTTGTCATTCCTCATAACTTGAATCCCAGCACAGTGAGGGTTGGAAGGGACCTCTGGAGATCATCTCATCCCAACCCTCTTCTCCAGCAGGGTCGTCCAGAGCAAGTTGTCCAGGAAGGTGTCCAGGCAGGTTTGGGATCTCTCCAGAGCAGGAGACTGCACAGCCTCTCTGGGCAGCCTGCTCCAGGCTCAGGAACCCTCACAGCAAAGAATTTTTTTCTCCTGTTTGGACAGAACTTCCTGGTTTCCATTTTGTGCCCATTGTCCCTTGTCCTGTTGCTGGGCACCACTGACAAGAGTCTGGCCCCATCCTGTTGAACCCAGGGGTCTGATCAGCATTGATCAGATCCCCTCTCAGTCTTCTCTTCTCTGGGCTAAGCAGTCCCAGGACTCTCAACCTTTCCTCATCACAGAGATGCTCCAGGTCCCAATTATTGTCTTGATTTCCCAACTCAAAACTTAAAGAAACCTTTTGTGATTCATAGAGTGTCCTGTAAATGAAAGGAGCACAGGCACACATACATTTTACAGCCAGTCTAAGATGGGTACCTACACAACTCTCAAACATTTGCCAGAGAGCTGTTAAAGCATGATGTGGGTTTTACACAGATGTAAAGCTGCTTCTCAAGGAGTGCAAATTCCAGCTACCTGGGAAAAGTCTGTTTGGCACAGGAATATGCTAAAAGGGAACTTCCAAGAGATATTGCTGCAATTTCAGCTCTTTGCTGTAGCAGTAATCATCACAGTCCAAGGACACAAACAAGGCAAAGTTTACAAACAGGCACATTTTAGAGTTTTCAGGCACCTGAGCTCTTCTCAAAATGGAAATAAAGATAACAAGAAACTTTACCTACAAGCCTCATCTTCCAAGAGGTCTTAACTGCTCTGGATAAGGGTTAAGCACTCAACATGTTGGCTCCTCTGTACGAAGCCCTGACGGTATCATGCCTTTGCTGTCAGAGACAGGAGCTGTCAGTGTTGCCACCACAGTCTCACTTGTGCTCCCTGCCTGAGCTGTGCTGTGGGTATGTCTGTGCCAGGCCACGGATCTCACTCACCATGAGCTGCTGCCATGACCATACCAAGTGGACACAGGTTACAGTAGCCTCCCAATTTGAGACTGTCACAGATGGAAACAGAAAGACAATGACTGCTAATGTTTCACCTGTGCTGTTTAAAAAAGAAGCAAAATACATGTCTGCTTGAATAAATTTATTTCACAAATCACAGAAAAATCACTGATCAAATAAGGCTTTACAAGATCAAGGATATAAAAGAGACACATACAAATCTGTAATAAACACATTGAGCTCTCATCATATTACTCATGATACTCCTTACAAGTTACACACCCAGGAACTACTTCCTACCACTGCAGTTAGCAAACATTTCACCTGCAAAGATTGATCCCTGGTTTTAAGGCTATATATCTTGCCTTCCTTAGGCAAATTCTTAAGAGCTGTTCAAAGAGCTCAGCCTGAACAAGAGGTAGAAGACTGGACTTGGTTTGCAGGTGTCTTCTCAGCTATGTTTAGATGTAACTGTAGAGTGTAATCCCCTTCTTACGCCTGGTTCTACTCAGCAGTCAGCTAATAGACTTAATATAATAAATCACCTATACTGAAAACAAGTTTCATTTACTGAATGTGGCTGATCTGACAAATCTAGAAATAATCTGCAATATCACATGTTGATAAGCTTGTAATTAACCTGGTGGTGTCCTTCTGGTAGTCACAACTAATGTTTTCTTACAGTTTTTTTTAACTAACGTATTTCACATTCTCTGATGTGGTTGTTTCATAAAGAACAGAAAGAGAATCTTTGACTTGAAAACCCTGAGAAACGTACCAGGTTAGTTCAGCTGTGGCACACTGAGAGTATAAGGTTCTCCAAAAAGCAGAGCTGAGGGAAAAACCTGAATTCTTCATGAACTCCAAACCCCTACCAATTTGGAAGCTGCACAATAGAGGAGAATTAGATTTGAATCTAATGAAACCCCTTAGTTCCTTTTGAACACCACAAAAACCTACTGAATGATGTTTTCCTTAAGTGAGCAGCAAAGCAAACGAGGAAACAAAACAGATATCACAGTGTATTGACTGCAACATTAACAGGCTTCTCATACATCCTCATCTGCTGTTTGAATTCTAGCTGCATTTAACTATCCCACTAGACAGAAACAAACTACTCTAACTGTAGTAGTGGCAAACTACCTTTTGATCTTTGAGTCAGAGAGAATTCTACCCAGCAGCTACAGGGGCACCACGTCAAGAAAAAAAGTTACATTTTACATCCTTCTAAATACAAAGAAACAAAGCCTGCATCTCACATCTGCCTGCTGGCTCTGGTCACTCTGGGACAAAATCTTGGAGGATACATAAAGGTGCATTTGAAATGACCAGAAAGAGGAACCCCCACTTTGCTCTGCCCCCAAACAGACTCATTTCACCCAGTATTTGCAAAGCCTGCTTCTCCCTGCACCCTTTTATTCAGGTAAGCCTTGCAAGGCAGCAAGTGCTCTAATCAACACTCAAGGCAAAACAGTGTTTCACAAATGGTATATATGTAAAGTGTGCTTTTTTAGGGAAAAAACGTCTCTCTGCTATCCCACCTCCTTACTATTTTGGTCAGTTTTTCAAGTGACAGAATAGTGCCTGTCAAGAACTTGGTTACATGCACGTATTTATGACAAACCCAGGAGTCTCATTTGTTAAATCGCTTGAAGAGGAGAGGATTTTACTGAGCCATGTATCAAAGCCTCTAGTGCTGTCATGGCCTGTAACATTTTGTATCCATAATTCTCAGATTTTAAAAACCACAAATACAGGGTTTGTCCTCATACTAAACGCCATTACTTCAAAATATATAAATATCAGCAACACCTCTTCCTTGAAAAAAAAAAGAAAAAATGCATTTTTCTGTAGTGTGCCTTGACAATTATTATGTTATTGAATGTTTAATTCTCATATTAATGGTCTAACAGTGTGGAAGAATCATGGGATAAATCATCATGAAGGAATGAAGGAAAAGAACTGTGGTGGCTTTGTATATTAATGGTCTAACAGCGTGGAAGGATCATGGGATAAATCATCATGAAGGAAAAGAACTGTGGTGGCTTTGTCACACACAGTGCACTGTATCAACTTACACACGATGCTGGCAAACAATTCCATTTGTGACCAGCAACACTGCACCTCTGACACAAAACTCAGTCAAAAAAATAGGTCTGCTGAAATGAAGAAAACGTTCCTGTGTAAATTGGAGTGTAATTATAAATCAATTCTCTTGTTTCCTCGTCTTCGCTGGGGAAGCGGTGCTGGCTCTTCCGGGCTGCAAAACATGGGGAGGGCACCAGTCACTGCACTGCCACCTGCCCCCACAGGTCCTCCTCAGCAAAGTCAGCTGAGAACAGCAGTGAGAACACCAAACTGAACCACAGCAACCAATATATGAAGGTACATCTTAGAAAGCTCATGACAGCGTATCAGTGGACAGGGAGAAACTTAATAATTAATTTAAAAGCCAATATTGTGCAAAAATATTTATCTGTAAGATACTGGCAGCACCTTCCAGAAATACCAGTACTGTAATACTGAAAGAAACGCATCAGAGCATCAGCCTCCTGGAAGCTGCAGTGCTAGCATGGACTGTGTCTCAGAGGACAATCAAAACTCACGCTGGCAACTCTGCACGAGTTAAAATATGCAGCAGATGGATATGAAAATGGTGTTTCAGTAGAAGGGTTTAGTTATGATGTGATCACAGATGAATATATTTAGCTGTAAACAGGTTTCTCAGCTCCTGGTTTATTTTCCAATCTAATGAAGATGCTCTGCCTTACATTGGCTAAAACCACCCATTGCAATGTTACAATAGGAGGTATTTGGTGGGAGCAGCTGTACCCAGGCTGGGGAGGGAAGGAAGAATAACTCGTGATTTGGTAGATGACACGGGGCAGGAAACAACTAGAACTGAAGATCAAGAGATCCAAAAGCTAGTGACACATCTGTGTGGCACTATGCACGAGCTCAGCATATGTGTGTATACAGATAAACACACGCACTGTGTCTCGACAGAACTTGCAAGCAAAGCTGGCAATTTTTTTCCCATTTTTATTTGCTAACAGCCTCACCAAGCTTGCCTTTGCCTGGAACAGTGTGCAAGGTCACCAGCATCCTGGCTTCTACCACCACTAGTGTAGCCAGGAGGACTAGGGCAGGGATTGTCCCCCTGGACTGGGCATTGGGGAGGCTGCACCTCAAATCCTGGGTAGCAAGGGGGGTCATTTACCTCAAGTCCTGGGTAAATTTTGGGGCACTCACTCCAAGGAGGACATTGAGGGGTTGGAGCATGGCCAGAGAAGGGCAATGAAGCTGGGGAAGGGTCTAGAGCCCAAGTCTGGTGAGGAGCAGCTGAGGGACCTGAGGCTGTTGAGCCTCAAGGCTCAGGGGAGACCTTCTGGCTCTCAACAGCTCCCTGACAGAAGGATGGAGCCAGGTGGGGGCTGGGCTCTTGTCCCAAGTTACAAGGGACAGGACAAGACAAAACAGCCTCAAGTTGCAGCAGGTGAGGTTTAGGTTGGACATGAGGAAAAATGTCTTCCCTGAAAGGGTTGTCCAGGCCTGTCCCAGGCGGCCCAGGGCAGTGGTGGAGTCCCCATCCTTGGAGGGGTTTCCAAGCCATGGAGATGTGGTGCTGAGGGACATGGGTCAGTGGTGACCTGGCAGCACTGGGTTAATTGTGGGACTCAATGACCTTAAAGGTCTGTTCAAACCAAAACAATTCCATGGTTCTTTGCAGATGAATACTAGGGAATGTGGTAAACAAACCAAGAAAACAGGCTGTGCTCCAGTATTAGACTAGAAAAGCAAAAAAAGGCTAAATTACTACTTTCTCCTATTTTTCCTTTCATTTTTGTCTTAGACTCCCGTAAGTACCCTATCAAAGTTCTGAACATACAGGAAGCTTATGTGTTTGACAAGGAATTTTATGTGACTTTGCTGCTTTTTTGTGAAAAGGAGTACAAGGACCTTATGCAAAAAACCCACAGCCTTGAACTTGTTCAAAGCACAACTTTTGTTTCCACACCCTCACCGACTGGGTCAGCACAAGCTGAATTTCTCTAAATCACTGTCTGCTTTCTCCAGTTAAGTGACTTTTAGTTAGAAATCACATCTAGAGACCAAACTCAAACTCAATTAGGTTATTACATTCTCCTTAATACAAATCAATCTGGTAAGACAATTTCATAAATGGTCAATTTAATTATGGAAATGATATTTCAGCAGAATGCTTTAGGAAGTATAAATAAAGGAAAAGAGTAAACTGGATCCCTTCAAATACTCCTGGAGTTAGATACTGCTTATTTATAGCAGACAGACCTGAAATGTCATCAATTAGAAGAATTTTCACAGTTGTTACTTCCAGCTTCCCAGTATACAAATCAGACAGCAGCTTTGCAGAATTCAGAAACTTCTTGTGCTCTCTGTAGCGTGTAACTGCTGGGCACCACACTGCAGCCCTTTGATAAACCCACGTCCTGCCTGAGCTGTATTTATCACCTTGGTGTGTCTGTTTTGCCAGCACACCTGAGAACACACTGAATGACTGTAACTCAGTTTGGAACAGAAGCAGCCTCTGGAATTATGAATGGCCTATTCTGGTTTTGTTTCATGATCTTTGTGCAAGGGAGGCTAAGATATAACAGTGATCACTTGGAAAGATCACAGAAAGTCACAGCACAAGGTTTTTGAGCCAGTCTGCTGACAAGAGTTTGTAGAATGCCTGGCCTTTTGATGTCTACTTTTACTAAGCCCTTCTATTTCTAGCACCCTTTGGGTTTTTTTTAAGCCTATAAAGCTCGCAGAGTAATCTCCTCAGAAAGCAGTAAGAGGTACTGAACTGACAGCTGAAAGAGGTCTGTCTCCTCAAAGGTTTTCATTAATGCTTCCCTCTAAAAAACTGCATGTATGGATAATAAACTTTTTACCTTCGTTAACGAAGAAGTCAGCTATATAATAAGCTGCTCTTACAGCTGATGGAGAATGGGGAATCCCTGGTGAAATTTTCCACTCAAAAGGACTTTTCTCTGGGTGCCACTGGACGCCATAAATTGGGTATTTGTATGCTGCAACAAACACAAAGCAAATAAGCAAGGTCTATGCCTTAAGGATGATGTGCTTAGTCATAACTGCAAAAGAAATGCAAAGGATAAGCTACAAAATTCCCTCACTTAACAGCTTCACAAAAGCTTAAACTGCAAGTTGAAAAAGTCACCATAAAACTGAAGGGCAAAAAGTGGGAGTTGTAAAAGGGAAGTTTCAGTCCATGCAGGAAGATTTTTGTACATGATTTTCACACATACTCTAAAATATCACGTTAATCAGTCTTAAAACTTCCTATCTACTGCCAGCACCACTCAGCATACAACACTGACAGGCACACAGGATATCCCTGGCAGTTCCATGGGACAGACCCAAGTCTCAGGATCTCCCTGAAGGCCAGTGGGTGCAGAGGCAGCGCCCCTGCTCTGTGCCAGGCCTGGCAGGCACGGGAAACGTTTGTCATTAGCCTAATCAGGTGTTCTGATCAGACTGCTGTTCTCTTCTGGAGGACAGCCAGGATGCCATGCAGAATTCCCTGGGCTGACAGCTGGGCCTTGCTGTAGAGCTGCTAGGAGTGCACTGGTCAAGACAAACTACTCCCTACAGAGCTAACTTGTTTCTTGGGCTAAGTGAGACTGGTGCAAAACACACACAACACAAGATAAACAACACAGAAAGCTTCTGGATTTTGGAGGAGGGCAATTACTAGTATTGCTGCTAGGCTATTCCTCAAATCCTGGGGTCAGTTGTGGGACCCTCACTCCAAGAAGGACATTGAGGGGCTGGAGCGTGGCCAGAGAAGGGCAACAAAGCTGGGGAAGGGACTAGAGCCCAAGTCTGGTCAGGAGCAGTTGATGGACCTGGGGTTGTTGACAGTGGAGAAAAGGAGGCTCAAGGGAGACCTTCTGGCTCTCGACAACTCCCTGGCATGAGGCTGGAGCCAGGTGGAGGCTGGACTCTTCTCCCAAGTTACAAGTGACAGGACAAGAGGAAACGGCCTCAAGTTGTGCCAAGGGAGACTTAGTTTGGACATGAGGAACAATTTCTTCCCCAAAAGGGCTGTTAGACCAGGGCAGTGGTGGAGTCCCCATCCCTGGAGGGGTTTCCAAGCCATGGAGATGTGGTGCTGAGGGACATGGGTTAGTGGTGCCCTGGCAGTGCTGGGGCAATGGTTGGACTTGATGATCTGAAAGGTCTCTTCCAAACAAAACAATTCTAGGATTCCAAAGTAACAAGGGAAGCTGCTGTTACCTCAGTGCCCTGAGCTGCTCTTCCTGTACAGCAAAAGGATACAGAGCTTCACAGGCATGCAAGAATGAGCAGACAGACAGAAAGCAAGGTGCAACAGAGGCACCTTATACCACAGAGGGACTGAAGTACTGCAGGACAAGTGCTCTGCACTTCACACCACAGCACTGGAACATTCCAGTGCTAACATGTAACATCGTATCTGTAAGAGGATCAGCAGGTGAGAGGAGTAATTTGGCTCACATATGTACTCAAAATATCCCTGCAGAGAGAGGGAGCTCCTCCCAGTCAGGGCACTGGGCAATAGTGGCCTGATGCTCACCAGCAAGCTTGCAGTACAAATTAACATCAACACCACAACACCTGGAAAAAATTAGTTTTTTTACAGTCACCGTTCACAAAGGAAAGTCAATTCCCTACCTTCCATGGTGGATATAAACTCCATTTCTCCATCCCTGTTAGTGGTCAGAACATTGTAGAAATCATGAAGTTTTTCATTCTTTGTGAAGTTCTGTGATGAGGAAGGGGGGGGGGAAAGATGTATTATTTGGTCATTTATTTCTAGTTTTAACAGCAAATGTGTTTGTGTTCAGGACATAAATCGACCAAATACCTCCATGGAGAGGCTCCACATATGAAAGTTTGCTGTCAGAGGCTCAGTGGCAAATGCATGCAGTATGTCATCAGGGAAATTCTTGAATAATCTGCTGTCTTTTGCAGCTGTGACAAAGAAAAATGAAAAAAAAAAGATATTGTCCATTACTCAAGCTGCTAACAGATGGACTAATACCAAACAGGAGACAATTTAATAGAACAATGCATTAAACTTTTTTTCTGTAGTATAACTTTATGAATTTAGAATACACTGCAAGATCAGCAACCTTTCCCTTCACAATGAGCCCAGATGGCAGCATCTGTGAATGCCACATGGATTATTCACAAAGTAGAGGATCAACTATCAACAGAAGACAAGTTATACCAGTGTTGTTGAGCAGCACAGCTCGAGCTTAAGGGACCTCTCTGGTTTCAAGACAAGTGGAACAGCAATACTAATACTCATCATTAGGAAAGAGGCACTGTGAAAAATTAAAAATCACTAACTCTCCAAGTCTGGTAGGTTTTGGACCCATGAATTTTGTTCAGCTTGGTAACAAAAAGGGACCTAAACCCACGTTGGTTTTGGAGGTCAAAATTATCAAATGACTAAAAGAGCCAAAACTGTGGATTTTGCTGCTGTTGGTTTCAAATGGCTTGTGCTCACATCCCTGCTTTAGAAGTTAGAGTTGCACAGACTTTATAGAAAGTCATGGCAACTTAATAAGAAAGAGTTTATCAAGAAAATCATCAGAAACCTCCCAAAACGTTCACCCCTGCGTATTTATCACCAACAAAACACAACACCTCTCAGCAGCACTCAGACAGGAGATATAACAGATTTTTCACCTGAGGTAAAGTTCAGAGGCAGTGCAACACCCTGTGTCTTGGTATTAGCAAGTAGAACTTCGCCACTGGTGAGATATGTAAGCTCTTCATGTCCTAGACATGTTCCCCACACTGGGAAATAATCTCCTCTATCATTAGCCTTCAAAATAAAAAGCAACATCAAGAATAAATTACTCAAAGAGGACTAAAGAGAACTTCCTGCTCTTTTTGCTTTCTCTTGTGTAGGTGAGAAGTAAAACTACTACATTAGTACAAATTGTGCCCAGAGGAATCACAACAGTTTAATTAGAATTGAAATAAATGCAGACTCTGTTTTTCTCCAAACATATGAGGACTAGGGGATATACACACATCCAGTGAAGCCACAAACTGAGCCTGATGTTGATTTTGACTGTTGTAAGAGTAATATCGAGAGCAGCCTAAACAGAAACCACAAAATGCATTTTTTTGCCTAATAAAAACCACATCATTTTTGTACTGTTTATTCCTGATAGCAAGGGCATGTTGGAGACTGGCATGTTTCACAGCTCCTGGTTTTGAAAAATCCACGTAGTCTTTCTTAACTCCTTCCTGAACATTTTTAAGTTGTGCATGACCCCTTTCAAGAGCTGCTGCTCAAAAGCCAGTTTTCAGCAAGCTGAAATTACAGGCTTAAAATAAAACGTTACCCTCCTGCATTACTGATAGCAAGGTAATAAAAGCCCATAGAACTACTTCTTCTCAGAGCTGAACATGGAGAAGAAAAGCAAATAAAAGCAAAAAAAAAAGAAGGTGATAGTGCTGCAGAGGCTTCACAACACCCAAAAGCCCATGGAACTTCTTCTCAGAGCAGAACATGAAGAAAAGCAAATAAAAGCAAAAAAAAAGAAGGCTGATAGTGCTGCAGAGGCTTCACAACACCCATTACAGGACTTCATCTCCACTGTCTGTCTTTCATGTGAGCGAGGAATAAAACCATTAAAGGCTAAAAAAAATTAACTACTGTTTAAAACCAATTACAACTGTACCATAAATATTTTGTGCTCCCCCCCTCCTTTTTTTTTTTAAATAAACATTAGCCTGGAGGAGAAGCATGTATTAAAACAACACCCATGACATCACATTTTAGAAACTAACTGAAAAGCTAGAAAACAGTATTTCATTTAGGTTTTGGCCTAGCTAGTAAAATTTTATTGCCTTGGAAGGGAACTGGGATTTCACATCCTCTATTCCTATTTAAGCTGAGCCAGAGCAAGTCATTCCTCATTGTAAACAGCTGAAAATGAAAGGGAGCCCATGCATGCTCTAAAACCAAATAAAATTCAGTCAATCCTCTTAACATCATCTTGATTATTGTAGCTTACCTTACACTAGTAAAAATACCAATATTTTACAGAGTTAAGTCTCGAAAGATGAGAATCACACCATGCAATCATCACAAATAGCAGAGAAAACAGCCCTGCCTTATTAGTCAGGGTTACCTGTGATGAACTGAAACGTGTTTTCTCCTTTTTGCTCACCTGAAGGCCACACAGCATCTATTAAACCTGCCTTTCTGACCATAAAATTCTGATACAGGCAATTCAGTTAATCATTCATGAAATTCTGTTGACATTTCACAGCCCTGCGAAGCACAAGAAACCCCCAAGAGTGAAGAGCAAGACACAGGGAGTGCTCTGAGAGAGACAGATGAGCTTGATCAACTCCTGCAGAAGTGAGATAGACTTTGCAAGGTTCAGGTGGAAGGGGACAGACCAACAATCACCATGAATGAAGACAGACAGAAGGAGGACAACGTTGGTGCCATGGGGACTGAGGAGTGGGAAGTTTCATGAGGAACTGCAGGTTCTCCAATGCCTGCTACTGGGAAGTCAGCAGCCAGGGCACGAGGGGAATTTAAGCACTGCTCGTAACTGCCTCTAGAAGTGGGCAAAGTTTTCCCAAGTATGACTTCAGTCACAATTTCAGTCAATGTTAGCTGAAAAACAAAGCCAGTAAAGAGCAGAAGGGAAGAAAATTTACATTTTTGTTCAGTTTGAACGCAGAAGATCCTTAACAAATCACAGGGATTGTACCTAAAGCTCAGTTAATCTCCATGCCTTTCCACTTTTTCTAACTTCAGAAAGTGTTGATTACTACCTGAAAAAAATCCACCTCTTATGCTCTAAGAGAATTAAGTCTTCGATAAGGATTCAGAGCTCTCACGTTCTTTGAAACAGCTTTCCCAGAAATTCAGTCTTTTCTTAATAAAGCTAATGAGCATACAAGTATTAAAAAATAATTGTTATAACCTTTCAAGTGTTCTTCCCACCATTTTTTGTGTTATATATTAAGCCAGCATTTACTTTAAAAATCTGCTATAGTTACAGCTACCAATGCAAAGAAATAGGTAGAATGGTGTAATGTGCTAATGTAGATCCCTCATCTGCACCTCCAAAGATATATTTAAATTGACTTACAGATGAGCAAGAATAAAGGTGATTCATAAAGCCTCAAGGATAAAAAATAAATGGTTGTGTTCTCACCTGAAGAACTTGGGAGTTTAAGATCGTGGCAGAGTATATAACAGAAGAAAGTGTCAGAAGTCTGAACCTTAAAGCTATTAAATGATTTTTTTTAATGCAGAAGCCAGTAATGAGCTACTTATTCTCAGGCTTACAGTTAACATGCTGGATGGCAATGAAAAACGATGCTGGCAGAGTCATGTCTTAGAAACAGAGGAAAGTGTCAGAAGTCTGAACCTTAAAGCTATTAAATGATTTTTTTTAATGCAGAAGCCAGTAATGAGCTACTTATTATCAGGCTTACAGTTAACATGCTGGATGGCAATGAAAAACGATGCAATCATGAGCCTCCCTGTCGTTTTGATCTCCAAACAGTGACAGAAACAAGAACAGACTGTTCCTTAGTCATTACCTCTAACGCCTTGTGGTAAAATATCTTAGCAACCCTGGAATATTCTGAAGTCTTAAGATCCACACCACCTCCTGGAAAAAGTACCCTGAAAGGCAACATCCAAGAATCTGATTAGCAACGGTGATCAAACTAAAACTTGGACAATGTACACAGAGAAAGGTCTGAGAGTGGTTTTAAGGGTAGGATTCAGGTCTAGGTTAAGACAGGCATCTCAGCTTCTATTATGGACAGCATGGATCTAGTCAGAAAACACACTAGAGACTCAAACAGGTTTTCTAGAGCAGACCCCTAACGGGTTGGTAGGTTGAACAGCCCTGTAGGTTTCACTGATTGGCATTCCACTAATTATGGGAGTTCAGACAGCTCAAGCACACGCAGACTGCTAAGTTCAGCCATCTTAGTCTTTAACTGACTCAGACCCTAAATCTTGGTGTTCTACTGCAGAATGGTTGCTATCACAAAGTAGTGACCAAGCCTAGTGCAATGTAAGGAAGAGGAAACAGAAAATACACAAAACATACATATTTCAGCTTGTACACAGAAAGGTTGTGTGCCATGACTCCTTCAAATCCTGTCCTGACTCCCGGCTGCCTCTCCCTACCATTTTAAAATCCTGCCCCCAATCTCAACTCATCCTGTTCAATTCCAATAAAGAAGAATCGGGGCCATAGGAGAGTGACCTTCTTATTGTGGACAACATAGATAAAAAAGTTCTGATTAAAAAGGGAGAAAAAGTGATTTTGGCTGTACCCTTTGGTCACCCAGGATCTAACATGGCTGAAGCTGACCGAGCAATCTCAGAGACATTTCAAAGAAATAGTGCAGAATCTTTTTCAGCATAAAAGACCTGGCTCTGTTCTGGCTGTAACTGGAATGGTACCTGCAGAACCAACAGAACTCAACGTGTGAGGTTTATTTTAAAGGGAATGATGCACAGGACTGTGCAAAAGCCACCTCGTATTTGGTGGAAAAGTAGAGCAGTATTCACAAAAACAGAAATCAGATTACTCTCCAGTGCCAAAAGAGAGAATGAATATAGCTGGAAGTATTTTCCAAAGAGGCCAGGTTATGGATTTCTACAGGGATCTAGTTAGACAAATAAGGTGATCCTTACCTGGAAGTGGTGGAAATATTCACTTCCCCCGTTCCTTTTGTTCAACCCCAAACCTGGCCAATACTAATTGGGAAAAAAAACTGTCATTTTGGCTAAAAGGAAGTAACTCATTACATAGCAATGATAATGGCTTGACAGTCATAAGTAGATTGAAATGCAGCTGCCTGTACTACAGTATCTCTATGATGTTCACTGGGAATCTGAAAAGCTGCCTCAGGAGTACTTTGCTATACTCAAACTCTGTCTCTACTACATAGTAAATTTCATTATTTTAACAAGGTTTATTTAGTAATAAATAATTTCCAACAGCAAAGAACCTGCTCTTACAAAATGAAAGAACAATGTATCTCTTTTTTTATTCCATGTTTCCACAGAATGGAAAGTCCTTCCCTCCAGAGAACATTTATTATGCTATTGAGGAAGCCACTGGCTGAGGAAATATAGACCATCCCTACACACCTACATAGCACAAACCCAGCTGCCAGTCACAGAAGGAGAAGGGAACTGGATCTACTTGTCAAACACCCTCTTCTGCATCGAGGTAGGTGGCAAGGTAGAAAGAGCAGGAGATCCCATTGGTGAAAGTCCTTCTGGCAACCACAGACAGGCTGGCAGCCATGAGAAAGGGATGAAATGATGCGTTTTGTCTCCAACATGAGGAGCCACAGGGGAGAAAGTGTCACTGGATTACACTTGCTTATACCACAAGCCTGTAAAGACCCACACCTCAGAAGGCATGCCATGGAGCTTGAGAGACAATGCTCTCCCCAGGCAGTCAAAATGTGCAAGTTCTACATATGTTGATTAACATTCCAGTGTACCCATAAGCTCAGCAAAAATATTCATGGTTTCAGATGCTTATCTCATTACTACAAGTAATGCAATGACAAGCTCACACACAACCAGGCCTGTGAGATGTAGCATCAGCTGATTTAACTCTTGTAGAGGGCATTTTTAGCACAAAGCAAACATAAAAGGTTTTGACTTTGCTCAGTGCACAAAATATGTTAAATGAGACCACATTATCCCACTCTTAAAACAGGAAGAACACATGTGTGGACAGTTGCCATAGGCCAACTGAAAAGTTAGGAAGTTTGTCTAACAAAGAACTAAGCCACAGAATGACAGGCAAGATGGGTCATTCAGGCAGCATGAAAGAAAGTACCCTAAGAGAAAAGGGGTACAAGAGACTGGAAATCAGGGACTTTCATGATAGATCAGACACAGAGAGGACTGGAAGAGGGAACAAAAGGTTGGAGCAGGGATGAAACACTCAGCAAGAGCTATTAAATATCAAAATTAAGGCTATCATTTAAATGAGGAAGAGAAAATAATTAACAAAGTAAAATTGTTAACCACAATGCCACGTGTCTGCCTGCAGACAAGCACAGGAAAAGGCAGAGTCCTGCTGCAGACCATCCAAAGTAGACTGCTCAAGGAAGGGAAGGCAGCAGGCTGAGAGACAATGAACTAGTGCTGCTGTCTTAGAAGACATTTACATGCCCACAGCACCTAGCACAACCTCTCCACATGGTCTTCTTGAGAACACAGCAGAGCTGAAAACCAGAACTATCAAGTCTTTCAACACAAAAACAAGTGCTCGAAACTTACCCGTTAATAGAGTGGAATATTTTATCATATTCTTCATCTGACAGATTTAATCTGAAACACCAAGAAAATCATTAAAGAACACATATAAAACATACATATTTAACCACAAAAATATCATTGTTACAGAACAGAAAAAAAGGACACAGGAAGTATGTAGATTGCCTGCTTTAAACAGAACAAAACAAGCCCAAGTCACACAAAACATTACACCTGAAACAGCTCTGTAAAGACTGAGAACCCACCAGACTGAAAGTAGGAGTCTATCAGGTACAATTCAGGATAAGGTACCCAGAGACCTCTTTGCAGGCACTTTTTAAATTTAGCATCTACACGACTAGCATGGTTATTACTGCCTGCAGACTGGCAACTCCGGTTTCTGATCGATTCCAAGAAGGGCAGAGCTGCAAACAGTGGGTCACACCCATTCTTCAGAAAAGATATAGTTGAGAGGTGGAAAGGTGATAAAGACCTCAACACCAGCAAACCAGTATGGCAGCTGTAGTCATGTAGAACTGAGAATCTGCAGAAATGGTTTATTTTGCCGGTAAAAAACTATTATCTTTTTTCAAAGAAAGGTTATTATAAGAAATATTAAATATTACATATTGCAGACTGCTTTTATTCTGAATTCTAAAACACCCTGCAAATTGTGGCATCCTCCCATAGTCTCTGAGGAGTTCTAACCATTCAGAAAAGCAGCACAACTCCTTTCCATGCCTCTGAGGTTAACCCTTAAGTTAAACAATAATTAGCCCCTTAAAAAAAAAAAAAAATCTACCTTATTGGCACAACTCGGGCACCAGCAGACTCCAAAAACTTCACATATGAAGCTGCAATGTAAGAACTTCCAAACGTGCAGAATTTCTCGTAGTGACATTCCTGTGATAAGACCCCTGAAAGGTCCAAGAAGGAAAACGAGCATTATACAAACAGTGAATGCTACACAGAGAGAGAGAGAAAAATCAGATTCACATTTGCTCTATGCCAGGTTAGAGGGTAACACCTGTCACATTTGAGAGTCACAAACACCGAGGCAATGGGGTATCAATTATGATGCCTAGTCACAAGGTACCAAATAAACACATATAGTCTGGCTAAGACGCAGCTTCCCAGATGTAACTATTTAGTACAGCTTCTCTGAAGTAAGTTATCGTTATTTTAAGGTCTTTAAACAAAGCATGCAAAGCGTAACCTTGTTAATAAAAAAGTTATAAAGAGCCTCCAGCACCAGGAGACCTCTGGCTCCACGCAGCCAGCGGCGGGTTTCACGGCGGGTTTAACTTAGGAGCCGATCCCTCTGCCAGGACGCCCAAGGTTGGGTGCAAGGCAGCTGCAGGCCGGTGACCCCCGGGGAGCGACCGTGGGGAGCTGCGGGATCCCCCAACCCCGCCGCCCCTTACCAACG